TTTCTTTGCAATTGGTAATGTTTCATGAAGTCAGAACCAAGATTACAGGACAGGTATCTAACTTCCTCTCTGGTTATATCACTTTTAATGCCTAGAATATGGGTGGAGAGTGGGAAGAAAGGAACTAGATGGAGCATTGACTTTCCTATTTCACCACCACTACTGAAGTTACTATGTTATCCAGACTGCTGAAAACCCAGTGAAACTGTCATTCAAACTCCCTACATTGGTAAACATATCATTGCTCTCAGGTTACTGCTGCCCTTCCTAGATAACTGATGCCTTATCCGCGTTTGGTTGAAATGGAAGATGTCATGTATGACTTACTTCCAAGTCTGTTGTTAGAGCAACTTAACCATTTGCTCAAGCTTCTATTGTATAAATGTTTATTGTGCGTCAAACTATACAAAGCACCGGAGATGCAAAAGTAAAGAATGGAGACATAGAGGATACAGGTGCAGGCAGTTTGAGTGGAATACTGTGTGTGATGACACAGGACAGTACAAAGTACTTTGGGCACACCTGTGAGGGTCTTACCGCTCAAAGTTGACACAGTTAGAGGTTACTTTCCAGGGGAAGTTTTATTACTGCTTGATTTTGAAGGGTCAGCAGGAGTTAGCTTAAACAAAGGAAACAGGGGAGGCCTGCAGGGGGGATTAGAAGTTAGTTGGAAAGGACGTCATGGGCTTGGTCAGGCTAAATCACTCCAGATGTTCTAAGCTGTGTTTAAACTTCACCCTCCAGGAGCAGTGGATAGTCAGGGAAGTTCTTTCAGAAGGGGAGTGAGGCATCACATTTTGTGTTTGGGAATATCCCTCTGGCTGCAGAGTAAAGAGCGTAGTAGGCAAAATGGGGCTGGAAGTTGGGATACTAATTGAAAGGTTTTTTCCAGCAATTCATACACGTGTTTTGATCTTTGAAGCCCATTCAGCTAGTAGGGTTCACACTGATCCTCTCTCTTATCCCATTTTAAAGCTTGTTCCATGCAGTTGGTTGAGTTACAGTATATGTAAGTCAAGAGTTTTTCCTTCAACACTTTAACAGTGAGGGAACTTAATCTCAAATAGCTTTTTGCTTGTTAAGTTCTGTCATGAAGGTACTGTTGGTCACCCCAGGCTCCATCCTACCTCAAACACTGATTAGCATCTCATATAAGAACAGAGCCACGGAAATTGGATTTCAGAAAAATCTGTGTTATTGAGGTATAATTGAAATAGAACTGCAGATATTTAAAGTGCACAGTTTGGTAAGTTTTGACATGGACACACCTCTGAAACTACCACTATCAAGGTAACATACCCATTCCACTCAAGTGTCCCTCCGTAGCCCCGCCCTGCTATTGCTCTTCCCACTCCCCTCTTCCCAGGGTCTGCTTTCTGTCACTATAAATTTGAATAGTTTACAGCTTTATGACAGTGCCACACTTTGACTGCTGCAGTTTCTAGTAATTATTGAAATCAAGTTGTGTTGGCCCTTCAGCTTGTTCTTTTTCAAAGTTGTTTTGGCTATTCCAGATTGTTTTCATTTCCATATGAAATTTAGGGTCATTTTGTCAATGTCAAAAAAAAGTACCTGTTGGGGTTTTGACTGGTAGTACATTGAATCTGTGTCAGTTTGGGGAGAATTGACATCTTTTTAAGATTTTATTTATTTTTAGACATGGGAAGGGCAAAAGAAAGGTAGAAAACATCAGTGCATGGTTGCCTCTCACATGGCCCCTACTGGGGACCTGGCCTGCAATGTAGGCATGTTCCCTGAGTGGGAATTGAACTGGCGACCCTTTGGTTCCCAGGTTCAATCCACTGAGCCACACCAGCCAGGGCTAATGTCTTATATTTTTGAAGGTTATTATAAATACTATTTTTATCTTGATTTGCAATTATTCATTGCTAGTATAAAATGTAGATGATTTTGTATATTAATCTTTTGTTCTGCAACATTGCTGAAATTACTAGTTCTAGTAGCTTTAATAGATTCTTTTGGATTTTCTACATAGATAGTCATGTCATTTGCCAAGACAGTTTTACCTTCCTTTTCAAAATGGATGCTTTTATTTTTCTTGCCTTATTGTACTGGCTGGAATCTCCAGTACAACATTGACTAAAAGTGGTAAGAACAGATTGTCTCATCTTTTTCCTGATTTTTAGGGGGAAAGCATTCGATCTTTTCACCAGTTAACTATGATGTTAGTTGTAGTTTTTTATAGAAAGCTCTTACTAGGCCAAGGAAGTTTCCTTCTTTTTCTACTTTACTGAGTTTCTAGCAGGAATAGATGTTGAATTTTGTCAGATGCTGTGTCTACTCAGTTGATTTTTTGGGGAGAGGGGTATTAAAATAATGGATTATGTTGACTGACTTTTCATATATTTAACCAACCTGGTATTCCCAGGTAAATCTGACTTGGTGGTGGTATATTATCTTTTTTTATATACTCTCAGGTTCCGTTTACTAAAATTTTATTCATTTTGTGTTCATAATGTATATGAGCCTGTGGTATTCTTTTCTTGTAATATCTTTGTCCTGTTTTAGAATCAGCAGTGCTGACCTCGCTGAATGAGTTGGATGCTTCCTGTTTTCTGGAATAATATATAGAATTGCTGTTACTTTTCTTCATAAATGTTTGGTAAAATTTAGCAGCGTAGCCATCCGGGACTTGAGAGTTTCTTTGTGTCTTATCTATCTTTTAATGATAACTCTGGCTAGGAGTTTAGCTTTTGATTTCTGTTATTTTTCTGTTTTCCATTGCATTGATTCCTGCTCTGGTTTTTATTCTTTTCTCCTCCTTACTTTGGACTTAAATTGTTTTTAAATAGACTATTTTTAGAGCAGTTTTAGGTTCACAGCTGTATGGAGCAGAAGGTACAGAGACTTCCACATACCTTCCCCCCCTAGTTTCTTTCTGAAAGTGAAAGTAAAAATGTCATTTATTTGAGGCCTTTCTCCTTTTCCAATACAGGCATTTAGTACTATAGATTTTTACATGAGTACTGCTTTTGCTGAGGCCCTGCAGCAGAGGATCCTTTCTTTCCCGTCAGTGACACAGAACCTTTCCAGCCTTGTCACTTTCTGTCTGCTGAGATGGGATTATGAAGTCAGTGTCTGCCGGGAGAAAGGAAAGGGTTTCAACCTAACAGCTCCATTTCATGTGCATTTTGCCTGCTTGTACTAAGTAGGGAAGGAAGCTGTCAGATGTTTTGATTCAGGAAAATCTTTTTGACAAAGGTATCCTGTTGATTGCTCGCTGCAGGTGTTTGTTTGCTTTGTTTCACTAAAGAGACCTATCCAGTTAATGTTAATAATGGAAGGGAAGTCTTAATAATGAAAGTTAAACTGCTTTCGTCTGTGGATCATTTAAGCACTATCTTCACTTCAGAGCTTCATGTTTCTGCGGTTGTGAGTAAAGACTAAGGTGGTATACTGAGTTGCCCTCACTATTTAAGTTTGTTTCTAAGTATATTACATGAAATCCTATCTGTGTGTATTTTAGCTGTTATGCAGAATCCTGCCTTAACCCAAGTTTGAATAGTCTTTTAAAACTAGTATAAAAACATGAGGGGTCCACAGAAATCATAGTTAATCTTTTATGTTTTACCCTGTGTCAGGCCCTGGGTCGCATACTTTGCATGAATTATCTCCTTTAATGATATACTAACACCCTGTGAGATGTAAGTATTTTCATTCCCATTTTACAGATAAGGAAACTGAGGTTTAGAAAATACTCTAAGGCCTCACAACCAAGAGGTATGGTTAGTTACTAGGGGTGACCCAGTCTCCAGTGACTTACAGCCTAGAATACACCTTCCTTCTGTGTCCATGTAGAGTGTGGCTGAAAGAACGGCTCATGCGGCTCTAAAATGATAGAGCTCTGGACATCGCAGTTCAGGAAATGCCTTGATGAGTCAACCAAACAAAGCTAGCTGAATAATATAGTAGGTTAAGACAGTAAGTTCTTTCAGACGTTTTGCTACTCTGTAGAAGTCTGAAGTTTTTCCTTAAGATAAAAGGGGTGAAGACTGACTTGGAGGCAATGCGGTGGTAGTTTTTGGGTTTAGACCTCCACGGTCACTAACTGAGCCACTTTAAAAAGTTATTTAACCTCATTCAGCTTTAGACTTTTCATATGTGAAATGGACGTTTTCTACTTCTGGGATTAAAGGTTAGAGATAGCACAAGTAGCACAGTGCCAAACCTCTTGTAGCTTGTGCTTGTCAGCAGAGATGGTGATTCTATTTATTACTGTAAGAAGCTGTTAATCCTCAGTGAATGAAAACTAGTTTTTGAGGCCTTACGTTCATTTTTCCAATGCTACCCCTCCTCCCTGTCCATCCACCACCCAGGTTGTCATGTTCTTCCGAACAGTGCCTGTGTAGCGCTGAGTTCCTTTCCCTTGCCGCAGTTCTAGTGTGAAATACGTTTACCTGGGTGATTCCACTAGATGGAGAGCTCCGTGCAATCAGAAGCCAGGTCTGACTTCGCTCACCATTGTCCCCGGTGTACAGTGCCCGCCATACAATAGGCCTTCGGTGAATGTTGAATCGATGAATGAATGAATGAATGAAATGAATTCTTAATCGCTAATAATGATTACCTTGCAATAATGATGTCTGACTCCATTAGTGATGATTTCTTTGGAGAATTAAAACACATGCAATATGATCTGTGTCAAGGTGTCAGGATTTGAACTCATCGGTCTCATGTGGCCATCTCTTGACATTATGCTGATTAAACTTCTTAGAAATGGAGCACAGTAGTATATTTTATTACATGTAGCATTATTGCGTATTGTTTTCAGCTTGACAACTCATGGCTCGAATTACTGTCATACTGTGTGCTGCCTGCTGTATTGTGCAGAATTTCATTTCAGGTCTTCGGTCACTTACTCCACTTTGCAAGAAATTCAGTTATTTCATGGAAGTCTCAGAATTTTAAAGTGAAAATATCAAGTGCCTTTCCTCCTTCACTCCATATAAATATTGTTTTCATTTGGCTTCTTTTACAAGGGAGAAGATGTCAACCGGACACTAGAGGGTGGAAGGAAACCTCTTCATTATGCGGCAGATTGTGGGCAGCTTGAAATACTGGAATTCCTGCTGCTGAAAGGAGCAGACATTAACGTATGTAAAGAGCATTGTCATTCTAGGAAAAAAATACCCCCAGTGTATGCTTTGGGTAATTATCTTATATGGGTGTGTAAAATAGTTATTGTGAAAATCTCATTTTAAATAATACAGTCTGAGATTATACCAGAATTTCTGTAACTTAGAAATATGTTTGGGATTTTTAAGAATAAGCACAACAGACTGACTTGCAAGCTGAGGGTCAGGATGTTTCCCCCTTGGCTTGTGGCTTTTCAAGTTCGAATGCAACTTCAGTTAGCACTGTCTGTTGGTAGCAAATGGCACTCACCCAGTGGAGCGGAGGACTGTGCAGCCGTACGATAAATCTAAAATGCATTTTTGGACGGAGGTCAGCAGGCAGGTGGTCAGACGGGAGCAGTCATCTCCTGATTCTTGCATTTTGTGGATTCTGCATTTCAGAGTTTTAGGAAAATGTTTAAATAACCATGACAGCAAGTGAGATGAACTTTTCACATTTCGGGGAACACCGTGTCACCTGGCCCGGCTGCAGGAATCTTTCACCTTTTCATTGGCTGTGTTCTTCCCTTGCACGACCTCATTGGCATTTCTGTACTAGTGGGGAGTAGAGGCTCAGAGTCAGTAACTAGTCGCACAGTAAGTGGCAGAGCCCAGCTTTGAACCGCGATGAAGGCCCTGCTCCTACTTCACTCTGACTCCCAAGGAGAAGCCTTGCTAGTAGTCTTGGGCATCTAGAGGGCACCTCTCTAGAGGCTAGAAACGTGGAGCTGTGAAGTGATTTTGTGCAGAGAGGCAAATAGGTAAACATTGACTTTACAATAATCCCAAGTGGCCCTGACTGGTGTGGCTCAGTGGGTTGAGTGTTGTCCTGCAAACCAAAAGGTCCCCCCACTTGGGGTGTGCAAGAGGCACCCGCTGGATGTTTCTTTCACACGTTGATGTGTTTCTCTCCCCACTCCCTAAAGATAAATCAAATGTTTAAAATAGTCACAAGTGTTCCCTAATAATATCTAGAAAGAAGAAACGAAAAGTGGGTAAGGTGGTCTGTCTCTTATTATTTCACAGGCTCCAGATAAACATCATATCACCCCTCTTCTGTCTGCTGTCTACGAAGGTCACGTCTCCTGTGTGAAATTGCTTCTGTCGAAGGTGAGGCCAGCTAATCATTTTCACTGCTCTTTTCATTACTGTGTGACTGTTTCAGCTAAGCATTTGGTTAATTTAAGTTTTGTTTGGCCTCAGGGGCCTAAAACTAGTAGAATCCAAAATTGAGGTCTAGAACATTATAACCCAAAACAGCTGGTCCACAAACCACTCGTTACTAGTCCATGATGGGTAAGGAGCTTGGGCTAGAATGTAAAACAGCACAGTCTCCTTCATCGGGGATAGTGTGCTGCGCACGGCCTTGGCGCAGTGCTTCAGTTGATTCGAGTTTGCTCCGATAGGCCAAGGTTGCAGGTTTCATCCCCAGTCAGGACACATGCAAGCATCAACCAAGGGATGCATAAGTAAGTGGAACAACAGATTGATGTTTCTCTCTCCAAAATCAATCAATAAAAGTAATTAAAAAGGAACAGTTTGCTGGGAGGAAAAAAGGTAGCTGAAGTAAGCATTGTACTCAATGATACAGAAGATGTAAACTAGTAACACGTTCGTGGACCACTCTTGGAGTAACTCTGGTTTGGAATTGTAAACTTCTTTTTCTGTAGTACATGCTGAGTAAGATATTAGAGGCGGTTTGCTTTAAGTAAGGGCTCTCCAAGTCATCTGGTTTCTTGACTTGACTGTGAGATCGTGGTGAATCTGGAGTTTTCTAGTGTTTTGTCTTTGCTATTATAAGCTATTAGATGGAGGTCAGAATCCAGCCTCAGGAATTAACGCACCGTTTGCAACCATCTAGCTGTGCTAGACAGGACCTGCAAATGTTGAGAGACAAGAAATCATAGTAAAATAAGGCACTAGTATTAATCCCAAGCTTATAATTTTGTGACCATCCTCTGGAAAGTGTTATAACATTTCATTTGGTATTTTCAAATAAAGCCCCTCTAAAAGAAGAAATTAAATGAGTAAATGTATGTAAAGCATTTTGCCACGATGCCTTGTACATAAATGCTTAATAAATAGCTTTATTATAAGACTGAAGAGGATTTTATGCTTCATAGAGTCAGCTTCAGGAAAATTTAGAGAAAATTGGGAAAGAAGGTAGCATATGTCTTGAGAACTTTCTGAAAGCAGTTAGTTCAGGTCATCTAAAACTAGGTGTTAAACACAATTACTGGATGTCTTAAATGTGTAGATTTGTGAGTTTCACGGGGATTTTGTTATATATCAACAGTAATTCTTAGATACTACACACCATACTAAGTTCTCCAAAAGACAAAATAAATGGAGATAATATTTTTGCCCCTGTAGTGGATGCAGAATCTGGTCAAATGTGCTCACAAAGACTTCCAGTTCCTGTCTGTTCCTGCCCCACACTCATGAAGATATTAAAGAGTGCCTTCGCAAACTGCTGCCTAATTGCATCCCTAGGGGGTTAGTTTTGCTTACCATACTTGCTTATTGTACTAAAAACTGGCTGTCATGGGCTACAAATACTGATTTTCAGTTCATGAAAGACTTACATAATTCTCACGTTTTATTGGTTTGGACTCTTGATGTTGCAGATAACTAAACCCAGCCCAGATAAGCTGAGAGAGAGATCTTGTTGATGCACGTGACTCGACAGTTGAGGCACAGCCTGACCCTGGGCTTAAGCCATAGGACCAGGATCTGATTTCTTCTTGCCTGTCAGTTCTCTTCCTCAGCATGGACTCAATTCCTCTGGTGGCAGCCTGTCCACTAAGTGTATAGTCAAAGAAACGGTTAAGAATACTGTATTGCATGTTTGGAAGTTGCTTAGAGGGTAAATCTTAAAAGTTCCCATCTCACACAGAAGAAAATTGGTAAGGATGAGAAGTGACAGATGTTAACTTACTGTGGCAATCATTTCACAGCATGTGCGAATATCACATCATCGTGGTGTGCACCTGAAACTAATACACTGATACATGTCAGCTGTCTGCATTAAAAACAAATTCATAAGCCAGAATAAAAACAGAAAGAAATGATTCTTTCTTTCTCCCCTTTCCATGACCTTTTCTACCTGCCAAAAAGTGTTCCCTCTGAAAATAAAAACCTTCATAGGATCCTTTTTAGCGTAGGTCCTCAGGCTCTGGTCACTTACTAAACAAGATGCCCTAAGTGTGTTCTTTTTAGCCATATTGGAAACTCGGTATTTCTTCCTGATGTGCCTCTCTTCCCTGTGAGACCAACAAAATAAGACATAATTACTTTTATTCAAGGAAGGACCTGAACCATCATCCATTGTTCTCTGTCCCTTATTGCTAAAATGTGTTCCAGGTCCTTGAGAGGGTTCCACCATTTACGACTTTTCTGGCTTGATTTGCATATGCATTAGGCCCTAATCTGTTACCCTAGAAGGGTCTCCATAAATAATGTATTCTGTTGCTAAATTATTGGTTGTAAGTTGTCTGACTTTTAACTAGCTTATTTCTTTTACTTGTGCCTGTAGTACTATTTTTCACTGTGTTTGAGCCTCAAATTCTGTAGTTAGTGACATTCAGAGATGGCTCTATCAATGGCAGATCAATTGTAACCATGTAGAGCTGTTATTCTTTGTAGGTGAAAGATTTTTTTTAACCTTTATGAAAGCAGCCTAGTAAAATCTAGTTCTGCTTTTTCAAAATTAATTACTTTCATTTTATTATTGCATAAGCCTCTTTAATGGATACCCTATGGTTTTGCTGTCCAATTTTTTTTTTGTTTAGAAATTGATTGCGCTCTTTTAAAAATCCATAGTTGCTAAAATGAGGGTATTCCAGTGCATGCTTTTTTGCATTATAATCAATGCCTGTATTATGAAATCTTGTTTGTTCTGGTTTTTAGAAAAAGTAGAATCCTTATGGATTATTATGAATTCATTTTAAAAGTATTTCATTTAAGAAGTTTACCAGATTCATTGACATTCTTAGTATATTTTCCATCTGGTATGTTTTATTAACATAGGAAAAGAGCCAAAACAATAAACAGAAATTTAAGAACTCAGTATGATCACAGCTAATTTGGGGGTGGGGCGTCACAAAAACAAAAAGAGAAGATTGCTAGAATATTTGAAATTAAATTATGTAATACTTACTGGACAACTATTTTTTAAATTTAATGCAATTGAAGATGAAGTGTATGATGTAAGTAAGAATTTAAAACACATAAATCTTAACTATCCACATAGCAAAAGAAGAAACTAACATCTGTGGAAAATCTAAATGTATTCAGCACTTGGTATATATAATCTTTCATTTTCTGCCAACCTAAATACACAAGTATATTCATCTCCATTTTATGGATAAGGAAACCATTTTTCTAGAGAGGTTAGTAACTACCTGAAGTCAGTCAGACTTCAGAGCCAATATAATGGAATCAAGAGTATGACACAAAAGACAATGTTTTTCCTACTACTTAAGATCGCCTTTCAGAATTACTGTTAGGGACAGTCATGAGAAATGGAACATGTGTATTTATTTCTGTGTGTAAACGCTATTTGGGCTGATTTTTCATTGGTGAGCTGTGATGTAGAGAATGGCTCACGTGAGGCTTCTGCTTCAAGACTGAGGTCTGAGCGCAGACCAGTGTGTCCCCTCTGTCCCTCAGCAGAGACGATTGCTTTAAATGGATGAATCAGTATTTGGTTCGGACCATAAGAAGGGGTTCATTAGACAAGAAATTATAACGAGTCAGTCCTTGAGACCCAGAAAGCAGGCAGGATAGGGCTGAAGCGAGCCTTTCTAACGGGAGCAAACGAGCATTTGTTGCATGCGGCCAGAGCAGATAGATCCCCGGCTGCTGCAGGCGCAGTGCCCCGGGCAGCCTAGAGAGCAGCGGGGTGCGCCTCGGGGAGGGGCAGGCCCAGAGCGAAAGACCGAGGTGCTGGGAGGATTGTGCGCAAGAAATCAGTATGTCATGTATACTAACATTATTATATACAGTATTAACATACATAACATCTTTACGATACTTTACTAAGCTTCCTTATAAGTTATGTAAGGCCTTGTAATTTATAGAATTGATAATAAAGGATTTTAAGAAGTCAAGTACCTTCATTCCCTAATCCTAAGGAAAACCATTTCTAAATAATCCACTGTAGCATATTGTGGGGGAAAACGAAATATTTCAATGTTTAATTCTTTTAAAGATGGTAAGTTTGCTGTAATGTAGAATTTAGACAGATAAGCTATGTCAAGTGTTTGTGTTTTGTCCTTTATAAGGTATGTGCTGCTATTAAAAATGACCGCACAACTTTCTATAATAAGAGCAAGAATTCTTCTAAACAGAGTTGTACCCAGAATGAGAAAGTCAAAATCTCATGAATTGAAAATTTAAGTTTTAAAACATTATAATTTGTTTTAGATTCCAAAAAAAGGCAGCACATTTAAATTGTTATTATAAATTGTCATTTGTTATATCTAAGAGGAAAAGTCCAAAAGAAACTTTGCTTTTTTGTTTTCCAATCTTTCCCTGTTTCACACTGTCAAAGAATTTATCTCCTTAGGCAGTCTACTGTGACCTTCTGCAGGGTCCGGCACAGATAACACCTATTTTTTATTACAAGTCTTCTATTACAAAACCATAATCATGTAATTCTGTAACATCATATCTCTCTCAAGCATATGTGACATTTTAGGTGAAATGTTCAAATTAAAGCTATAGGAATTATTACACTCATATTATTACCCTGCCCGCCACATTCAAGCAGGTGTTACTTCTGCCGGGCCCTGTATAACCACTGACTGTTGAGCAACACTAATTTTATGGACTCATAGCTGTTTCAGACCACTCCGGTTTGGGGGTAAACGAGCAGGATACAGAACAAAGGTTTACTCATTGCATTCCATAAGAAGTGAGAATGTTTATTGTCTTATGTGCAATTGCTATAGAGTAAAAAATACTAAAAATTAGTCAAAGAAAATGTAGAAAACCACCTTCTCTGATAGCGTTCATGTTTTGTTAAATATTATCTGTGCTGTATTTTAAAAAGTCAAGCAACCATTTGATGCTAGAACGTGACTACCCCTCTCAAATACCAGCACTCT